TGGTCCATATGGGGATCTGATCTAGTTGATCAGTCTCTGCTTATTATGAGGAGTTGCACCAGATGACCTTTTAAAGTCCCTTCCCAAAATTATTCTGTGGCCTCCAGTGGTCCTTCAACCATTACAGAATCAGAGAATCATGGAATATTCTGAGCTGGAAGGGACCACAAGGATCAGAGAGTCCAAATCCCAGTTGAACAGCCCAAAAGGGGATCTATCTTACTGAAGATGTCTCTGCTTGTTCTGAGGAGTTGCACCAGATGACCTTTAAAAGTCCCTTCCCAAAATTATTCTGTGGCCTCCAGAGGTCCTTCAACCATTAGAGAATCAGAGAATCATGGAATATTCTGACCTGGAAGGGACCCACAAGGATCAGAGAGTCCAGTTCTTAAGGGAATGGTCCACACAGGGATCTCATCTAGTTGAAGATGTCCCTGCTTATCATGGGGTGTTGTACCAGATGACCTTTAAAGGTCCCTTCCCAAAATAATTCCATGGCTTCCAGAGGTCCCTCAACAGTTGCAGAATCACAGAATTTTTAGAATTGGAAGGGACCCACAGAGTCCAACTCTTGAGTGAATGTCCCACACAAAGATTGAACCCCCACCCCTGGTGTTATCAGTACCCTGTTCCGACCAACTGAGCTCATCCCAGGGTTTATTTTCTGGGATTCCTAATAAATCCAGGAAAATTTCAGCCATTCACACGTCCAAAAAGGGAAACACAAGACCCAAATCTTGGCTGGGAGTTGCCTTTCAGCTCACTCAGCACCTCTGCTCCTCTTCACCCCCTCTCCAAAACAGAGTCACGCAGACTTTCCAAGGCCACTTGACCTGCCCTGGGTGAGTGGGAGCCTTGACCTCGGGAAGGTTTTCCTGCCACTGGGACAATGGGATTCCTCCCACCCATCCCAGGGAGGGTATTTCTGCAGGCTCAGGGCTTTGGGCTTGGTTCTATCCCAGGATGGAGCTTTTTGGGGGGATAATTTTAACACCAAAACCACTGACGTGCCCAGGTTGGGGTTCTTTGAGCAGCAGGTGAGGGTGGAATTCTGGGTGGAATTCCAGCTCCTGATGCTCCTCAGCTCCTGACTCTTTTCTTCCAAAAAAACTGCGGCTTCTAATACCAGGAAAACAGTTTTCACTTGTTAAAAGTTGTGTAAATTCAGGAATGTACCCAAACATCAGCTCTGGAATGTGGTGGCAGCTCCAAACCAGGAGATGGGAACGGGAAGGGATGGATGGAGCTGCATGAAGGAAGAAGAAGATGCTCCAGGGATTCTTCATCCAGGAATGGGGCACTTGGTTTTTTCCAGGAGATACTGGAAAATCTGGATTGTAGAGCTGCACCAGGTTGAAAATTCATTCCCAGCAGGGAAGCAATTCCTGTTAGATCCCAGTACCACAGTGATTTATTATTTGTGTGTTATAAAAAATGAAATGAAATAAAATGAAATGAAATTTTAAGAAAGTAAAATAAAATATAATATAATATAATACAAAAAAAAAGTCAAATGAAATAAAATAAAACAAAATAAAACAAAGTAAAATAAAGTAAATAAAAATACATAAAATAAAGTAAATAAAATACATAAAAATACATAAAATAAAGTAAATAAAGTAAATAAAAATACATAATAATACATAAGATAATAAAAAATAAAATAAAATACAGTAAAATGAAGTAAATAAAAATATGTAAAATTAAAATAAAATAAATATATCTTTTATCCTATCAATAGCTCTACTTCTCATAATTTGGGCTGGATTTGGATGAGCAGTATAGAAACAGCTCCACTTTTCCCCAGCAAACCTAAAATATCCTCCTGGAGTCATAATTCACCCTTTCTGCAGACTGTTCCTTCTCCCCTCTCACTCTCTCCTTTCACAGCTGAAGCTCATCCCACATTTTTGGTGCTTTCCCAACCATCTCCATCATTTTCCTGCCTGGCTTTAGACACGTGGGGGTTTCTACACAACTTATTTCCTACATTTCATCAGCAAAGGGCAGGAATTTCAATGTCTTCCTAATTAAGCCACTGGAAAAAGATCCTTGAACCCTAAAAGGATGAAGAACCAGAGATACTAAAGGATCTGGAGGCCCTTTAAGGTCCACCCTGGTTCTTCCTGGTTTGTTCTCCCCCACCACAGCCTGCAAGAGGATGGAGGGACCCACCAACAACGGGCAGTGGTGGCATCTCCACACTCCTCTGAAGGAAGAAATTCCAATATATATAAAATATTCCCAGAGCCACCTCTCCTACAAAGCTTTGGAGGAGACCCCCAGCTCCCCACAGCCCTTGGCAGCATCTCCCTGAGGGGCCTCCCCGGCTCCCAGGGCTGCCAGGAGCCTTCTCCTCAGCTGAGGCCTGCACTTTGACCACAACAACCCCCGGTAGATCCAGGCTGGGACAGAGGGGCTGGAGAGGAGCCAGGCAGGAAGGGAGCTGGGAGTGGGGATGGACAGGGAGCTGAACAGGAGCCAGAGTGTGCCCAGGGGGACAAGAGGGCCAATGGATCCTGGCCTGGAGCAGGAACAGTGTGGCCAACAGGTCCAGGGAAGTGATTCTGCCCCTGGACTCAGCACTGGTGAGGCCACCCCTGGAGTGCTGTGTCCAGTTCTGGGCCCTCAGCTCAGGAAGGACACTGAAGTCCTGGAGCAGGTCCAGAGGAGAGCAACGAGGCTGGGGAAGGGACTGGAGCACAATTCCCATGAGGAGAGGCTGAGGGAGCTGGGGCTGTTCAGCCTGGAGAAGAGGAGGCTCAGGGGAGACCTCCTCACTCTCTGCAACTCCCTGACAGGAGGGGGGAACCAGGGGGAGGTTGGTCTCTTTTCCCAGGCAACCATCAGCAAGACAAGAGGGCTCGGGCTTCAGCTGTGCCAGGGGAGGTTTAGGTTGGAGATTAGAAAAAATTTCTTTACAGAGAGGGTAGTGAGACATTGGAATGGGCTGCCCAGGGAAGTGGTGGATTCTTCATCCCTGGAGGTTTTTAAGAAGAGACTGGATGTAGCATCAGTGCCATGGGCTGGGAACCACAGCGGGGTTGGATCAAGGGTTGGACTTGATGATCTCGGAGGTCCCTTCCAACCCAGCTGATTCTCTGATTCTCTGATTCTCTGATTCTATGATTCTATGATTCTGTGATTCTATGATTCTGTGATTCTGTGATTCTGTGATTCTATGATTCTGTGATTCTATGATTCTATCCATCTCGGTGCTTTTCAGAGCAATGAGTGTCCTCCCAACCCCCCAAAGATCACGACTCACTCCAAAAAGAAACATTAATATTTAAGGAAGACAAATCGCTCCAGGTCCAACCTCATCCATCACCGTGGGCTCCCTCCCCGGCCTCATCTGTCCTGCTGGTCAAGCTCCACGCTCCACTGCAGACACCAATCTCCCTGTCTAACCCCATTAAGCATTCCCAGTAGGATTCCTGGGAGTGGTCTCCACCCCTGTGGAGCATCATCTCCCTTTTTCTGAGGAGAATTCCAGCCGTTTCCAAGCACCTCCTGGCTCCAGAAGGCCCCCACACCTGGGCCACGCTCAGCCACGCTGCCCAGATGCCAGGGGAGGGGACTTTTTGGCAACAAACCTGGACAAAAAAACGGATAAAAGCCCTTCCAACCTCTCTGTACAGGAGGCAACACCTTATTTAGCAGTTTATTCCAGAGATAACAGAGCCAAGGAAGCCCCTTCTCCTCAACAACACCAGGAAAGCCACCTCCATTTCCCTTTCTATCCACAGCAAATCCTCAGCTCCATCCTTCTCTCAGACCTTCCTGTTGGGATTGGGATGGCCAAAGACATGAGCACAACTTTGGGGCTGTAACACCTCCTAAAACAGCTCTGGAGGGCTGGAACAACCTTCCAGAAGAGGAATGACAGGGAACAAACAAGCAGGATGAAGAAAACCACCGCTGGGGACTGTTAAATCTTCTCTTCCTGTTTATACCCAAGCTCATGAAAGATGCCCAGTGTGCCCAGTGTGGGCACAATCCTGGGCACCCAGGAACAACAAATAAATCACAGGCCCAGTAAAAAAGATCTGAAATTTGCTTTTAGAACAACTAAAAGCAGAGTTCAGTGGATTTGCTGTTCCAAAATACCTGCTGATCCCAGATCCTCCTCGGGGTATACCCAGACAGCTCAGAACAAATCTTATTTAAAGAGGGGAAAAAAAAAGCTTTTTGAGCAAAAATGAAACTCCCTGATGATTCTGTTTTTCCTACCCAACGAGACACTACTCAGCCAAGTGCAAAAAGCAACACAAACCACATTTTTGATGGCAACAACAGCATAAACACACGGGGGTATTTTAGACAGTAGAGAGAAGAAAGAAACACAGGCTGCCTTCCAACGGAGCAGGATTTTGATGGAAGGCACCAGTGGCTTGACAAACACTTGGAAATGTATCTGTAGCTCAAATAAGACACTCAGAGAGTGGATATCTTGAAAAAAAGAAATGCTGGATGGCCATCAAGCTGAACGTTAAAATAGCCAAAATCACAGAATGTGCTGAGCTGGAAGGGGCCCTCAGGGATCATCGAGTCCTGCACAGGCCCAGCCCCAAGAGTCCCCCCTTGTGCCCCAGAGGATCAGCCAAACCCTCCTGGAGCTCTGGCAGCCTTGGGGCTGTGCCCACTGCCCTGGGGAGCCTGGGCAGTGCCCAACCAGCCTCTGGGGGAAGAACCTTTCCCTAAAAACACAGGTGGGAAGTGAAGGATGACCCTCCTGGTGCACGGTGGGCTGTGATGGTGCCTCACTTGTGTGTAAAGAGACCTGCAAACAACTGGGGAGACTCTCAGGAAACCCAACTCGTGGTGACACGTGAAATATGCGTTACTTTACAACTGGAGTATTTTTTTTTTTACGTCAGAACCGACAGCACGACGCCCCGTTTCCACCACGCTCCATCGAGTCTGAGCAACCCGGAATTCCGACAACACCGTGGGATGCCTGGAGAGGAACAGGAAGGGAGTTGGCGGCGGTGCCTTACCGGGAGGTGGGTGAACACGGCGAAGGTGCTGCGCAGGAAGCCGATGAGATCCACCAGGTAGTCGCTGGCCCTGCTGCCCGGCTCCAGGGCCATCCAGTCGTAGTCTGCCAGCTGCAGGAACTGGTCGATCTTCTGGTTGAGGTTGGTGTAGATCTCCTCCTCGGCCGCGTGCCGGGCGTCCTGCGAGGGACACGATGCGTGGGGTGGGGTCTCCACACCACAAATCCTCCCTCTCAGGCCTAAAGGTGGCACAACCCAAAGCTCAAGGAGCACCCAGGAGGCTGCTGAAGCCTCAGGGCACTCAGGCTGGTGGGACAGGTGCCACCGGGTCCAGGGGGATTCTGCCTCTGAAGGAACCTCGGGACAAATCTAGTGGAAGATGGAAGAGGAACATCCCGTATGGAAAAGGGTTGAGACCCACCCAACCAAAAGGTGTAGGGTGAAGGGGGCCACAGAGGAGACTCCCTGCCAAAATAAGGCAGGAAACTCAGCTTTAGGCCAAATAGGTGGGTGATGCCAGAATGGACTTCCCTGAGGACAGGAGATCTTAGTCTCCTGCTGAGTTATCCCAAGGGCAAAGCTCATCCAACCAATTCCCTGCTGTTCCCATGGGACACAATTCTAACACCACACACTTGACCCATCATGGCCTCAAGATTCCATATAAAGTATCTATGTGAACACTCCTGGGGTAGGATTTTGAGATTGGGAAGTCTGGGAGTTCCTGTCAGCCTTGATTTTTAGGGAATGCTGCTAAAAGGAGTGCAAAGGTACAGAAATGTAAAACTCTGGAAGTCTGTTCTCCTTTGGGGTTGAGGAGTTCATGGCCAGACATGGGGTCACACTGCACTCAAACAGAAAAATGAAAATTCATTTTAAAAAATAAATAAATTATCAGGCTTTTGGTCAAAAGCCAGATGATGATGATGATGATTATTATTATTATAATTATCATCATCATCATCATCATCATCATCCTTTAGATAATCAGGGCTGTAAGTCAAGGCTACAAACTCTCATGCTCTCGACAAAAGCAACGCTGAGAAGGAACCCAAAAGTGACGGCACGAACTTCCCAAAATATGACCAAACCATCTTCTGGCTCAGCCCAGCTGCCTAAAACTCCAAATCCACGCTCTCCAGCTGCCCACCAGCAGCTCCTCCTGGAGGTGGAGCCCCTGGATTTCTCACCTTGAAGGTGGTGGTCCCGTAGAGCTTCGTCGTGTGCACGGTTTCCGGAAGCACGTTGGTGATGTTGGTGATGAATTCCTCGAGGAACTTGCAGGATTTCTCCAGATGGGTCGTGTTTATAATAATCTGCACGAGCTGTAAAGGAAAAAAAAAACAACAAAAAAAAAGGGGGTTCAACCGTGGTGCTCACAAAGCCAGGGAGGTTAAATCCGAGGTTAAATCCAAGGAATTCTGGCGTGAAAAGCTGGCGCTGTGCAAACACAGCGAGCTTTGCTCAGGACTCCAAGTGTCTCCTCCTTTACCAACAGCAGAAACTTAAATAAAAGATAATTTGGGGGTGAAAGCCTTTCCCATGACAGCCACTGACACCACGGGAGACGATTATTTCTAATGGCTTTCCTACGCTCAGCTGTCACTCAGGGCTCGTGTCAGCCCTGCCCAAGCACGACAGGCCTCCCAAAAAAAACCTGCCCTTACAAATCAGAAGGCAAAAAAAAAAGTCTTCTGTCTGCCAATGAACCCTAAATAACCCACACCTGGAGTGACACCCAGCAGCATCACACCGAGGCAAAACAAAGAAACCACCAGGTTTGGCTTTTGGGAGGGTGCTGGTGGCAACCAGATCTCTCCCAGACCCACAAGGCATCATAATGTTGGATTAATTATAATTGCTGTAGAACTATTATTAAATTATAATTTAATTGCTGGAGCGTGGTGTGGTCGTCTGGAGCCACCTCCTCTACAGGAATGGTTTTGAAACACCCACAAATGTGAATGAGATTGGATTAGTCAGTGATTTAAGTGGTTTAGGCACAGGAACATTAGAGTGACACTACAAAAGATCACAGAGTCCAACTCTTGGTGGTGCTGGATGACATGGGAAGGGTGATGGTCACATCAGGGAGGTTCAGTGTGGATATCAGGACAACAAAGTCATTAGGAAGGTGGTGTAGGACTGGAACAGGGTGCCCAGAGAAGCTTTGGGACCTCTCTTTGGGAGAAAGGAAAAGTCAGGTAAGAAAGCCACGGCCGGCACGATCCAAGTGAGCGATGATCCCAATCCCAGGGGGAGGCTGGAGAAGAGGAGACTGAGGGGAGACCTCAGTTCAACTGCCTGGGCAGGGGCAGAGGAGGGGCAGGGACTGAGCTCTGCTCTGGGGGGACCAGGGACAGCACCCAGGGAATGGCTGGAGCTGTGTCAGGGCAGGCTCAGGTTGGATCTCAGGGAAAGGTTCTTCCCCCAGAGGGTGGTTGGGCACTGCCCAGGCTCCCCAGGGCAGTGGGCACAGCCCCAAGGCTGCCAGAGCTCCAGGAGGGTTTGGCTGATCCTCTGGGGCACAGGGGGGGACTCTTGGGGCTGGGCCTGTGCAGGGCTGAGGGTTGGGCTGGATGGGCCTTGGGGGTCCCTTCCAGCTCAGGATGTTCTGGGATCTGTGAAATCCTGGCTGGGCTGAGCTGGGTGGAAGGAGACGCCTCCACTCATGTGTTCATGGTCCTTTTATTTGGAGAAGGGGAGTGAGGTACTGACCAGCAAAACAGGTTGGAAAATCAGCTTAGCCAGGATGGTGGAGACATTCTTGGCCAGGACAAGGCAGGACTGGGATTGTCCTCCTCTTACATGTGCTCTTTGAGCTGTGCAGGACACGTTTGGCTGATCCTCTGGGGCACAGGGTGTGACCCTTGGGGCTGGGCCTGTGCAGGGCTGAGGGTTGGACTGGGTGACCCCTGGGGATCCTTTCCAGCTCAGCATATCCTGGGATTCTGTAACACCTCAGAGGTCCCTTCCAGCCGACACTTCTTCGATTTCAGTCCCATTTTTATTTTTAAAAAAATCAAATTATCATCTATTTGAACTCCATGGTTTTTTTACCTGTTTTTTACCTAAATGCCTTACAGGGGTAACCGAGAGTGTTCTCGCTCCTGAATTCCTCAGGTTAATTTTTATTCTCCAATTTTTGCCTCCAAACAAGTGCTCATCTGTGTTTCCCTGTGCCAACACAATCAGGATGTATTTTCCTGCAGTTCCAAGTCAATCAGACATTTCCAACTGTCTGAAATCCCTCCTAAACCTCTTCCCTGATCATCAGAATGGTCCAGATCACCTTGAAATCACAGCTTTGAAAGCTCTGAATGCTCTGATTCTCTTCCACCACTTGCTATGAGCTTTCCTGCTCCCTCTGGGGGCTCCTTCAAGTTCTGATTTTCACTTCAATTTGGAAGGGTAAGACCTTGTTGAGCAAGACCTTCTTGTTGTCCAAGACCTTCCTCTTGGGGGTCTTTTCTTAAGGGAATCCTTAAGGTTGGAAAAGACCTCTAAGATCACCAAGGATTTGAGGAATTTTCCAAGGAAAACACTCTGTGCTTCCATTTGGCCAAATGATGGTTTCACAAAGACAAGGGGAAGGAAGGGATGAAGATGCTCAAGGTAGATTTTCTTCAGGCAAATTAGGAAAAAAAAATGATGGGAGAGAGAACCCTGGGAGAGAGCAAGGAGCACCTTGGGAAGTGAGTAAAAATATGGAGAGAGATGTAAATTTATAGTGTTGAAAATGCACTGAATTCCCAAAACTCACCTACCCAACTTCCCAATCTCATATCCTAAACTCCCCAAGCTCATTTCCATAGGGAATTTACAGTGTCCAGAGAACAGGACACATTCCTACAGCTCAGCCAATTAAACTCTATTAATATCTATATATTTAATAACCACACAAAGGTCCCACCAGCGTCTCCATCTGCCCTGGGATCCCATGTTCCCACAGAACCCTGATTTATGTGCATTAAACTCATCAGAAATCCGATTTTCCACAGGAAAAAAGCATGGATCATGAAAAGAGAATCCCCAAATTGTGTTTGTGCTGTAACAATCTGCAAAAATGGCCTCTAACATCAGCTATAAATGGGATTACCTCCCACTCCACCCTCTCAGAGTTCCCACTTGGCTTTCCCTGTGTTCCCTGAGCTCCTGTGACTTAAATTCAGATACAGAACATTCCCCAAAATCAAAGGAGTGAAAAATTCGAAAACAACAGCAGAAAAGCTCCTTTTTCCCTCAACACAAAGAGTTTCCTGCTCCGTGGTTCCATCGCTCTTTTCCAACCAAATATTTCACAGTAATGCTCCAAACCCCCTTCTGTCACCCTGCCCTGGAAATCATGGAATACCAGAAGAGTTTGGGTTGGAAGGGACCTTAAAGACCAGCCAGTTTCACCCCCTGCCATGGGCAGGGACACCTTACACTAGCCCAGGTTGCTCCAAGCCCTGTCCAGCCTGGCCTTGGACCCTTCCAGGGATCCAGGAGCAGCCACAGCTTCTCTGGGAAATTTATTCTAGTTTTTTACCACCCTCACAGGGTGATATTTCTTTCCAATATCCAATCTAAATCTTCACTTTTCAAGTGGGAAGCCATTCCCTGTGTCCTGTCCCTCCATCCCTTGTCCTCAGCCCCTGTCCAGCTCTCCTGGAGCCCCTTCAGGCCCTGCCAGGGGCTCTCAGCTCTCCCTGGAGCCTTCTCTTCTCCAGGGGAACCCCCCCAGCTCTCCCAGCCTGGCTCCAGAGCAGAGGGGCTCCAGAATCCTGGAATGGTTTGGGTTGGGACTGTCAATCCTGCTGATTCCACGCCCTGCCATGGGCAGGGACACCTTCCACTAGACCAGGTTGCTCCAACCTGGCCTTGGACACTTCCAGGGATCCAGGGGCAGCCACAGCTTCTCTGCCCAACCTGGGCCAGGGCTTCCCCACCCTCCCAGCCAGGAATTCCTTCCCAATATCCCATCTATCCCTTCCCTCTGGCAGCTGGGGCTGTTCCCCCTTTGTCCCACCACCCCAAACCCACGTCCCACCTCCGTCAGCCCCACGTTTCTCCTCTTGATGACCGTCTGTAAACAGTTGCTCAGCGTCCGGGTCAGCAGCAGGTTCGTGGATTTCCGGATCATGTCGTCGACCTCGGTGGAGCTGGAAAAGGGGGGAATTGCAAGAGAGGTTTGCAAAATGGGCCATGAAAAGAAAATCACCTTCGTCCTCCTCCTTCCCAACGCTCTCCCAGCTCACCCATCATCATCCATGCAAGGCTTGCAGCTCCTGATATACTGATATATACAGAAATTCCAACTGTTTAGGTCAGGAAGGGGGACTAATATGTCCTAAACCTGAGCCTCAGATACAGAACATTCCCCAGAATCAAAGGAGTGCAAAATTCAAAAACAACAGCAGAAAAGCTCCTCTTTCCCACAACACAAAGAGTTTCCTGCTCCGTGGTTCCATCGCTCTTTTCCAACTGAATATTTCACAGTAATGCTCCAAACCTCCTTCTGTCACCCTGCCCTGGAAATTATGGAATAACAGAACAGTTTGGGTTGGAAGGGACCTTAAAGACCATCCAGTTCCACGCCCTGCCATGGGCAGGGACACCTTCCACTAGACAAGGTTGCTCCAAGCCCCATCCAACCTGGCCTTGGACCCTTCCAGGGACCCAGGAGCAGCCACAGCTTCTCTGAGAAATTTATTCCAGTTCCTCATCACCCTCGCAGGGAAGGATTTCTTTCCAAAATCTAATTTAAATCTTCACTTTTCCAGTGGGAAGCCACTCCCAGTTGTCCTGTCCTGTCCTTCTACGTACCTCCCTGAGCCTCTCCTCTCCCAGGGGATGCTCCAGCCCAAGGAAGAGCTGCCCATGGGCACCAGCACAACCCATGTGGCCAAGCCACCGCCCTGCACTCGACACTGGAGACCTGCATGTTCAGCACAGAAGGGAAAAGATCTCCAGTGGGGGAAAAAACTACTCCAATATCCCAAAATACCCCTCTCAACCTTCCCATGGCTTTTTAACTGCGTCATAAAACCACTGAATGCTTTGGGTTGGAAGGGATGTTAAAGATCATCCCCTCCCACCTCCCACTAGCCCAGGCTGCTCCAGCCTGGCCTTGGACACTTCCAGGGATCCAGGGGCAGCCACAGTTTCTCTGCCCAACCTGGGACAGGGCTTCAAGACAGAATTCCTTCCCAATATCCCATCTAGCCCTGCCCTGTGGCACTGGGAAGCCATTCCCTGTGTCCTGTCCCTCCATCCCTTGTCCCCAGTCCCTCTCCAGCTCTCCTGGAGCCCCTTTAGGCCCTGCAAGGGGCTCTCAGCTCTCCCTGGAGCCTTCTCTTCTCCAGGGGAACCCCCCCAGCTCTCCCAGCCTGGCTCCAGCCCTCGGAGCATCAGACTGGAAGCTCCTACCACACATTCCTGCCCTTTTCCAGGTGGTTACAACTTCAGCATCGCTGGAATTTGGAGGTTTGTCTTTCTGCCCCTCCAACATGTGGTCGGTGGCATCTCTCCTTTCCAAAGGAAGTTTGGGAAACCTGCCCTGCCGGAGGCTCCTTTGATCTGCCCTTGGCCCTGCATTAGCCCTGACACCACGGGCTTTGCCTCCAGCAGGAGAGGGCACAGGGAATTCCCCCTGGGAATGCTGAGACGTGTTAATAACTTGGAGGCTCCCGGTAAATGGAGCCCGTGACCTTTGGCTCCTGCTCCTGCTCCACCTGACAAAGGGGCCATGGCACAAAGCTGGGATTGACAGGAGAAACAAAAGCAATCCCTGAGGTTTCCTCACTGCTGGGGGATGTTGGGATGCTGCTGTTGGAGTTCCTGCTGGGCTGGGAATGGGCGCTGCCCGCCTGTGTCTTGTTCCCACTTCCCAAATTTCTGTGCCTGTTTCATGCTGGCTCGGTGCCTCTGCTCCAAGTGCTGCTCCAACAGGGCCTGATGCTCGGGAAGGTGGGACTGAGCCTCCTCCAACAGGGGCTGTGGGATTCTGTGCCCACAGCAGCTCCTGGAACTGCTCATCCTTCCCATATTCCGGCATAGCTCAGTCAGCTCCTTTTCTGAAGTTATTCCAGCCCTTTCTTGTGCTGCTGCCTGGGAATTGCACTGAAATCCCTCAAACTGGGCCATTCACATCAGAGTTGGGCTCTGTGGGTCCCTTCCAATTCTGAATATTCCTTGATTCTGTGAAATTCCCGGGAGAAGTGGCAAACACTGCTGCCCACCCACATCCCTGAGCAAAGCCATGACCGGAATTCCAGGAGAAACCCATGTCCTGCTGCCTTTTCCCAAGGAAAAGCCCAGCTGCACAACCCCCCTGCCACAGTGCACTGCCCAACAGGTTCCTCCAACATTTCCTTTTTCCCTGATGTTTAGAAGTTGGCTTTTCCAAGCTAAATGGTTCCACCATCTGCTTCCCAGTTAGAGACAGCGGAGCTGGACCAGCAGCTCCCGAGAACTTAAATCCAAAGCCAGCAGACAAAATCTCAGTGTGGGTCACTTTTAGATCATCACTGATCCCAGGGAGTTTATTTTCCTCCTGCTATCCCACTTCATGTCCCAGAAGGACCCCTTGACTCCTTCTCCCAAGGTTTTCACATGTCCAAGGTGATGCATTTGGGTTTTATAAACTGTGGAAGAGAAACCAAAGGTAGAAGGGAAAAGAAACCAGCAAATGGATTTTCCTGGTCTCTATACTTATGGGAAGGGCTCTCAAAGAAGGTTTTAGTCAGAGATAAGTCAAAAAGAAATTCAAACACAAACCCCAAATCTCATCATGCCACTCCCCCCAGGCTGTCCATCATACCCCAGGAAAAACCAGATATCCCAGTCCACACCAGCAGACAACACAAGGGTTAAATAGAGCCATAGCAACCAAATCCAACCCTGTTTTGGATCTAGGGATGGTAAAAAAGACACCTGAGGAGATGGAAAGCAAAGGGGTGATGCAAAGCCAACTGTGACACTGGAGGGGGGTGGGAAAACTGGGAAGGGGGTGGGGAAGCAGAAAGGGCTGGATCCATGTTCAGAGGAGTGGAAAAAAATGTTTAGGGAGCAAAAAATACACAAAGCTGAATCCTGGTAAAAACATTGAGGGTCTTTTGGGATTGGAGAAGGACTCTGGACAAGGGATGGAGGGACAGGACAAGGGGGAATGGACTTAAGCTATGGAGGGTGAGTTAGATGGGATATTGGGAAGGAATTCCTGGCTGGGAGGGTGAGGAGGCCCTGGTCCAGGTTGACCAGAGAAGCTGTGGCTGCCCCTGGATCCCTGGAAGTGTCCAAGCCAGGTTGGAGCAACCTGGTCTAGTGGAAGGTGTCCCTGCCCATGGCAGGGGGTGGAATGAGATGATCTTTAATGTCCCTTCCAACCCAAAGCATTCCATGATTCTATCATTTTCCTTAGGAAATCCTGAAATGCAACATACAGGGAATCACAGAGGATGGTGGAGGTTGGAAGTGCAGGTGGTACCTGGAGCTCCAGGGATCGACTGGAACCCAGAAAACCCAGATAAAAACCCCGGGATTTGGACACAACGTCAGCTTTTCCGCACTAAATCAACACAGCAACCGAATCTACAGGGCTGGAAAAGTTTGGGTTTAAAACCCAAATGTCACCCTGTCACCAGGGAATCCCAATCCAACACGGGAGGCACCGCCTGGCTGCCGGAACGCCCCAGGACCGTCACGCTCCCGGCAGGATCCGGGTGCTGCTGCTTTGCCAGGGCTGTGGGGTCACCAACCCCTTGGAAGCCCAGGGCTGGCTGCAATCTCTTACTCATCTGTGGGAACATCCCCCTCACCTCCAGGGCAAGGACAAGCTCAGGAATTCCAGGCTGCTTCTACTTCTTCAAAGAACTTCAAACCGAGCTTTCTCCCTGCACCGGCGGCATTCCTGCCTGTTCTTGTGGAATCTCAGGATCTTTAAGGTTGGAAAAGGCCTCTAAAGACAAAGAGGCCAGCTGCCATCCCCCAGCACTGCCAAGGCACGTGCAAGCACTAAATCATGTCCCCAAAGTGTCACATCCACAGGGCTTTTAAATCCCTCCAGGGATGGGGACTCCGCCACTGCCCTGGGCAGCTGGGCCAGGGTTGGAGAACTTTTTCCACGAAGAAATTTTCCCAATATCCAACCTAAACCTCCCCTGGTACAGTTTGAGGCCATTTCCTCATGCTCTATCTCCCATGGGCTCCGAGAAAGGACAAAATGGAAGCATTCCATGAAAAGGCCCATGGCAGGGGGTGGAATGAGATGGTCTTGGATGCTCTGGAGCCAGGCTGGGAGAGCTGAGGGGGTTCCCCTGGAGAAGAGAAGGCTCCAGGGAGAGCTGAGAGCCCCTGGCAGGGCCTAAAGGGGCTCCAGGAGAGCTGGAGAGGGACTGGGGACAAGGGAGGGAGGGACAGGACACAGGGAATGGCTTCCCAGTGCCAGAGGGCAGGGATAGGTGGGATATTGGGAAGGAATTGCTGGCTGTGAGGAATCTGATGTATCAGCTCCCAACTGGTAGGATTTAGCAGTGCTGTGGTTGTTCCCAACCCTCCACACTCATCCCACAGCCAGGAGCAGCTGCAGCCCTCCCACCCCTCCAGGAACAGAGGAGCAGCAGCACGAGCTGCCAAAGAAACTCCATTTACCTCCTCTCTCCCCCAGCCAAATTCCAAAGGTCCTCCCTGATTTTGGTTCTTCAAACCTCTCATTTTTAGACCATTTTCTTTTTACTAACTTGACACACTTCGATCCTTCCCAGAGCTTTGCAACCCGAGTTCTTTCAGGATTGGTGTTTAGTTTGTAAAGCAACCCACCTCAAACCCAAACAACTGAAGTCTTGGTAGATTAGAGCTCCCATCCCATCCCTTCCACCCACTGTTTCCCAAAGATATTCCCTATCTTTCAAATGGGAAATGCCACTGGAAAAAGAGGAAGCCTTCCAGCCAGCGGATACTTTTCAGGACAACTTGATCAACTCAAAACACACTTGTAACAAAGAGGAAACTGCTGAATTTATAAAGGAGGTTTTCTTTCTCTTAATTATTTAAGAGAAATAATTTAAAAGTCCTATAAATCCACACGGGGCTCCAAATTTTCTTCAAACACACGAAGAGCAAAAGAACTTTCACGGGAGCAGCAACATAAAGGGGGAAAACTCCCGCCAACAAACACAAGGAGGGAGTTTAAAAAAAAATAATTACGAAAAAATAATAATTAGGGGGAGGGAAAAAAAAAAAAAAAGAGCTCCATTTTCCACCCCGGGCTCTGCTCTTTGGGAAAAGAGCTCAGAATCTTGAAGGGAACTGTCTGGGTTAATGACAGCTGATGTCCTGTATCCCGTGGCAGTAGCTGTGACCTCCAGGCCCCCCGTGACTGACGGGCTGACCCCGATCGCTCCGGGGTGTGACAGAAATGACAACCAAGGAAGAAAAAGAAAGGGAAAGAGAAAGGAAACTGGCTGCCGGCTTTGTAGCCAGGCTCCCTAATAAAACCTAATTCAAGCTGTCAGGGTGAAATGAAGAAAGTGTCAACAGGGGTTTTTCAGAGAAATATTCCAAATGTTTGGCTGGAAAAAGGCAGAGCCGGGCTCCCATCCCCCCAGCTCCTCAGAAAGGGCTGGAAAAGCCGATGTCGAAAGGAATTTTAATAACGTGCCCAAGGGGACCCCCGAGGAGGGACCCCAAGGGGATGGTTTTCCTCCCTTCCCTGACAAGGCCAATCATCCCAGTAATGGTGAGGGGCACAAGGCTGGGGCAGGGGGAAGCGCCAGGGGAGGGGTTGGGTGAAAGCAGCGTCCGTGTGAAATCGGAGCGAGGTGTCGGCCCCAGAAACCGAGAGGCTTCATGGTGACCCCCGGGTTAAGAGCCCCGGGAGCCACCAAAGAGAACAACCTGCCACTGGTGAAAGGCTGAGGGGGAACGTGGGGCAAGGAACGTCCCAGGATCCCAAAGAGACCACGGAGCTGCTGTGGCCTCCGGCGGGAGGGAGGGGGAAAGTGCCTCCCCAGATCAGTGTCCCTGGCTCAGAGGGAGGGAATTCAGACCCTGAAGGACCTTGTGTGGGCTCCAAAACGTCTGGGGAGGGCCCAGAGCGCTGGCCCAGCTTCATGTCAGTACTGGGGCAATCGTGGAATGGCTCGGGTTAGAAGGGATTTTAAACCTTATCTTGTTCCAAATCCCTGCCATGGGCAGGGACATCTTACGTTATCCCAGGTTGGACAGGCCTTGGAGCAACTTCCTGAACACTTCCAGGCATCCAGGGGCAGCCACAGCTTCTCTGCCCAACCTGGGACAGGGCTTCAACACCCTCACAGACAGCAATTCCTTCCCCATATCCCATCTATCCCTGCCCTCTGGCAGTGGGAAACCATTCCCTGTGTGCTGTCCCTCCATGCCTTGTCCCCAGTCCCTCTGCAGTTCTCCTGTAGCCCTTTCAGGCCCTGCAAGGGGCTCTCAACTCTCCCTGGAGCCTTCTCTTCTCCAGGGGAACCCCCCCAGCTCTCCCAGCCTGGCTCCAGAGCAGAGGGGCTCCAGTCCCAGGAACATCTCCAGGGCCTCCTCTGGACTCTCTCCAGCAGCTCCATGTCAGGTCATGGCCAGGATATAAAACCCCCCTCCTGCAACTCCCACCTCTTGCTAGTAGAGCTCTGCACGTGGAAGGGAAGAAGGATCCTTGCTTCCAGTGAAAATCTTGAAGGGAAGAAGCATCCCTGCATCCAGTAAAACCCCTGGTGTCAATTTTTCTGCCTCTACCAAGCTGAAAACGATTCCGAGTGCAAGAAAAAAAAGCACCAACTCGCAGTTTCTGGCAAATACAGTTGGTTTTCAACCTCACACATGTACACAGGGATAAAACCAGCATCAAAGCACCTTGGGATGAGGAGAGAGGAGGGTAAACACGTGGAATATTTTGCAGGCTTTTAAAAAACAACAACAAAAAAATCGTGTTATTTGTATGTAAACTCCCAGGAGAAGCAAGAAAAACAAAGCCCCGAAACCAGGAGTCGAAACTCATTAAGGTACAGAAATCCAAACCCCCCCAGAGCCTTCCTGACAACACATCCCTGGAATCCCGGGATTCACAGTCTGGGGGAGGTCAGAGATGTTCTAGGAGGCCCTGACCCAACGAGGAGTGGACACCACCACCTTTCTTGAGACAACCAGGTTCATTTATTTCCTAAAACTCCAGAAGCCTTTTGGAGGAAACAGCTCCCTCAGTTTTTATACAGCTGGGGTTGTCCTGGGTTGTTTTCTCTGGAAGTGTCCAAGGCCAGGTTGGAAGGGGCTTGAAGCAACCTGGGCTAGTGGAAGGTGCCCCTGCCCATGGCAGTGGGTGGCACTGGATGACTTTTAAGCTCCTTTCCAACCCAAACCGTTCCATGACCTTCCCCTCCATGAGGTAGTTTTGAAGACATAACCAGCCCTTGGAAGATGCCATTGCTCCAATAAGGCCACCAACCACCTCCAGCCTGGCCAGGGTTTATCCAAACAGCTGAACAACAGGAAAAGCTGAGAAAAAGAATTTATATTTTAAACCTCTGAGCTCTCTGAGTGCAAAGAACCCCGGGTGTGAATGTTTTACCTCAGGTGAAGGTCCTCCGAGAACTTCAGGCAGGCGTAGATGAATTCCTTGATCTGATTGTAAACTTTAGGCACAAACTCGGAGAAGGGGAACTTCTTTGGAAAGGGTTGCTGTAAAAAAACACAGGAGAGAATTCCATGCAAGAGCAGCCATCCACCGGGAGACGCACGACTGCTTTTCCAGCAGCGTGTTCCGAGAGGTCGGATCGATTCCGGGATTTAGCCACGTCCAGCAAGGAGACAACAAGGCATTTCTGGGGTGTTGGATAAACACTTCAGCCCAGTGAAATGTCACAGAATCCCTTACAGATGGAGTGCAGGAGGGGTTTGGAGCCTGGAAGGAGATTTGCAGCTCGGAGGGAGCAGGCAGAAAACAGGACCCTCATTCCCTCTCCCAAATCCCTCCCTCGCAGGAAAACAACCCCCTGGGAGAACTCCCTGACGCTTCTCTCCCATCATGCATGAGTTGTTTTGCTTGGTCACCTCCCCCAGGTGCTGCCCGAGGTGAGAATTTGCTTCAAACACCAAAAACCAATAGGAAACAGATTTTTCTACCCCAAATTTCCCATCCAGCTCTTCCCTGCAGTGGGGGGAGGTGCAGTGACACAGTAAGACCCTGGACCCCGTGACTTAATTTTGGGGGAAGGACAAAGACTTCCCGAAATCTGGATCAAGCCCCCTCCCATTCCTAATGAAGTTCCCCATGGATAGAGTTTCCTGGATGCCAGAAGGTCAAGCAGGATTTAAGGGACACAGGTTCCATCAGACTTGGATACACATCGGATTTGGGAGCAGGTACTTGTGGAAAAGCCAAGATAAAGCACCTTGTCAGGCTCTTTTCCTTTAAATATGAGATTAAAACAAATAAAGGTCAAGAACATGTTCATAAAATGGGAATAATACCAGTGGAAGGGGATATTTTTAGTCTCCTGTGCATTGCAAGGACTGCTCAGCTGATTGCACACCCTGATGTGAAAACAAGATCAACGAGGTTTTCCTCATCCACACCTGGAGAAATTCAACACATGGAAGGGATATTTGCTCCGTTCCCTGGTCCTGCTTTCTTTTCTTGCTGTGGATTTGGTCTGGGGAGGTGGATTTGGGTGATTTTTGATGCTTCCATTTGCAGTTCTCCACATCCCTGCTGAGGGTGTGGGGTTTTCCTGCACCAGCGGCCACACGAGGCCATTTTCCCCATTCCAAGACTCATTCCAAGACTCACCTTTTCAAGTTCAGCGTCCTGGAATGGGAACTGTCCAACTATTTTCTTATAAAGTTCTTCATTTGACACCGGGATGGGGCTGTAGTTGTCTGAGTCAAGTATATTTCTAGGAAAAGGAAAGAAAAGTCAGGAAGAGAGCTCTGCCAGGAGAGGACCCACAGCTCTGCCGGGTCAGGAAGATCCCAGGAGGAGATGCCAGTCCAAGATGGGATCCCACAAACCCACAGGAGCAGCACAGGGATGTGCCACTAATGTCCCAAGACACCCACAGCTTGGTGATGGAGCGAGGGCACAATATCATGGAATCATGGAATGGTTTGGGTTGGAAGGGACCTTAAAGACCATCCAGTTCCACCCCTGCCATGGGCAGGGACACCTTCCACTAGACCAGGTTGCTCCAACCTGGCCTTGGACACTCCCAGGGATCCAGAGGCAGCCACAGCTTCTCTGCCCAACCTGGGACAGGGCTTCAACACCCTCACAGCCAGAAATTCCTTCCCAGTATCCCACCTATCCCTCTGGTCACAGGAAGCCATTCCCTGTGTCCTGTCCCTCCATGCCTTGTCCCCAGTCCCTCTCCAGCTCTCCTGGAGCCCCTTCAGGCCCTGCAAGGGGCTCTCAACTCTCCCTGGAGCCTTCTCTTCTCCAGGGGAACCCCCTCAGCTCTCCCAGCCTGGCTCCAGAGCAGAGGGGCTCCAGCCCTGGCAGCACCTCCAGGGCCTCCTCTGGACTCTCTCCAGCAGCTCCATGTCCATTTTCCACACTAACTTTACTGTAACCCCGGATTTTTGCATCCTTCCATCTCCTGAGTGTCCATGTGAGCTCCATAATGAAACCATGACCTTGTCCCTCTGGGATGCAAAACCTTTGGTCCACAGGGATTTATTGCACCAATCTCAGCACACGCAGGATCCCCACAACTCTATTTAAACTGGCTCTCCCTGCTCCAGGAAAAGCCCAGGATCTTACTGAACCTTACTGCTGCCCAAAATTTAAACATGAACTCGCAATTATGATGCTTTCCCCATCCCTGGAAGTGTCCAAGGCCAGGTTGGATGGGGCTTGGAGCAACTTGGGATGGTGGAAGGTGTCCCTGCCCGTCGCAGGGGGTGGAACAAGGTGAGCTTTACCCGCTTCAACCCAAAACATTTGTGATTCTCTGATTAATCCCTCAAAAGATTTTATTTAGGGGCCAAAACGCCTCCGTGAGGGGCATCTCCTGGGTCTGCTGGAAGAGCCTCTTACCTGAAAACTCCTGACCATTTCTTCAGGAGGGTTTCACTGTACTGGTCCTGGATCTCCAACAGCATGTCAAAGAGCTGGTTCACTGGGAAGCCATAGCCCTGGGATGAGGGAAGAGAGCAACTTCAGGGGAAAAAAGCCACCAACAGGCAGGTGAAGATTTATTTTCTCTATTCAACAAGGAGCACGTGGGCAATTCCTCCTCTACCCCCAGCCCAGAGCTGAACAGTTCTGGTGGAGGGATTTAGGGGTTGATTTACCAAGGGTAGGACCAAGGACTATCAAAGGTTTGGTCCTTGGCCACTCTGAGGCACAGAGCAAAGCAGGTTGTCCATCAGGTGCCACAATCCATGCACTGACACCCCCAAAAAGAAGCCAGGACACCACATCCAGCCCCCACCAGTTGTTTAACCCTCTGGTGGGCATATTTGTTGGCAGCAGGACCATGGAGTGAGAGAAGGAGTGGTCCCCACCCACTGTGTACCTGGAGTGTGTCAGCAAAGAGGACGATGAGGTTCTTCAAGTCTAACACCAGGCTCGGGTCGGAGCAGTAGGACTGGAAAGAAGGGGAGAGAGGAAAACATGGGTTTAAACTGCACAACACGGAAAAAAATCCTGCCCTCGGCCCTCCTGTGTTATCTCTGGAGTGATAATAAATGCAGGGCCTAATGACCAGCAGCTTTTATCCTGCAGCAGTGTCACCCAGGGCCAGGGCAGGGGGGGTGATAAGGGTATCTCTCCTCCTAATGCCCCTCTCCAGGCTCTCCATGATGAACAAAGACTTTGGGTGCTCCAGAGATACCTGAAGTGTCTCTAAGATTCCCCAGGAGCTGCTGGGAGAGCGAGAGGAGATGAAGCAAATCAACACCACTGTCAGAGCAGGACGCCAGCAGCTCCTCATCCAATATTTACCATGTTGTGTCTGATGGTAATGAAGCATCAGTGGCTCGGGCTGAGGGAAAACTTCTTCTATTCCAACAAATTAATGGTCAGAACTCCAACACAAGGATTTATTGTAGGTCAGGACGCTGCTCAAAACCCCAAAGACACAACTGAGTGCAGTGACAGCGCTGGTGTCCCCCCCCAGAGCCACCCCCATGTCCCCCACATGCTCGCTCTGGACACAGAAAAACCTCCCTGTGCTGAAATATGTAAAGTCTGAGGCAGATTTTGCCCAAATATAGAATCAGGGATCACGAGCTGGACAGAGAAGCGGATTTAAAGAGAACAGATTTAAAGCTCACTGGAAACTCCAGGAGGAACAACTCCATTAATCATTGGGAAAGGCTGGAAGACACACGTTTTCCAGCTCACTGTCCAAAAAAAAAAAAAAGAGAGTCAGAAGGAAAGATAACGCCCTAAAGCTCTCAGAAGGGATAGAAGATGTCCCTGTCTACAGCGAGGAAGAAAATCCAGGGATAAATTTGGCTGAACTGGAAGAACTGAAGCAACCTCCCCAAGGTGAGAGCTCCCCTCAAGCCCCAGTACGGGATGGAGGGCACTGGTGTGTGTGTGGGAGCTGGAGGGGGAGCTGTGCCCAGAGAAAAAGGGGTGATGACCACAGGAGTGGTGTTGGGAGATCATGGAATGCTCCCTGACTCCTGCAAAGCCCTCTCCTGGCAGCCACTTCACGCAGCAAGTTTGGCATCACTTGAAACAACCCTGTGAGGGCAACAAAGGCGGGGGGAACTGAGGAGTCCCGTGGTCGGGCCCGGCCCCCTCTCACGGTCCCACCTCGGAGAAAATCCCACTTAAAAGGAAAACAAACACGGGTTTACAACCCAGTGGGGTGTTCAGCTCTGTGTTTAGGAACACGGGAGCTCAGGGGAAGGAGGCAGCTTTCCAAGCAACAAAACTGGGAAGCTCCTGTGGTCCCTCAGCCCAACGAGCTCCAGGCCCGGAGAAGAGTCATGGAATGGGTTGGATTGGAAGGGACCTTCCAGACCATCTCATTCCACCTCTTGCCATGGGCAGGGACACCTTCCACTAGACAAGGTTGCTCCAAGTCCCATCCAACCTGGCCTTGGACACTTCCAGGGATCCAGGGGCAGCCACAGCTTCTCTGGGAGATTTATTCCAGTTTCTTACCACCCTTGCAGGGAAGGATTTCTTTCCAATATCCAACCTAAATCTTCACTTTTGCAGTGGGAAGCCATTCCCCCTCATCCCTTGTCCCTCTCCAGCTCTCCTGGAGCCCCTTCAGGCCCTGCCAGGGGCTCTCAGCTCTCCCTGGAGCCTTCTCTTCTCCAGCTGAACCCTTCCAGCTCTCCCAGCCTGGCTCCAGAGCAGAGGGGCTCCAGAATCATGGAATGGTTTGAGTTGGGACTGTCAATCCTGCTGATTCCATGCCCTGCCATGGGCCTTCCACTACCCCAGGTTGCTCCAGCCTGGCCTTGGACAATTCCAGGGATCCAGGGGCAGCCACAGCTTCTCTGCCCAACCTGGGACAGGGCCTCCCCACCCTCCCAGCCAGGAATTCCTTCCCAATATCCCATCTATCCCTGCTCACTGGCAGTGGGAAGCCATTCCCACTTGTCCTGTCACTCCCCATGGATTATCCCCACCTGCCAAGCCAAAGTCATGAGCACGTTCTGCAGAACTCGGCGTGATTTGGAACCAGCAGCTTTTTGTGTCTGCACACAGAAATTTTAGGGTTTTCCCAGCAAAGAACCTTTGGGTTTCCCCCCACGTTCCCAGGACACCCCATCAGATGCAGATCTGCAGCTCCTGCTCTGCCAACCCCAGGGAGCTATGGGGCATCAGGGCCTAAACACCTTGTACTTTCTAGAGAAAACGGCCCAATAATTTAAAAACAGATTTGTGGAAACTCATTAATCACAGAATGTGCTGAGTTGGAAGGGATCCACAAGGATCATCCAGTCCAACCCTTGGCCCTGTCCAGGACACCCCAACAATCCCACCCTGTCCCTGAGAGTGTTGTCCAAACCCTCCCTGAACAAAGTCCTCAAGCACATCACAAGATTTGCCTTTTACTGTCAGAACTTTCCATCCCCCTGATGAATGCTGAGCCAGCACAACATCACGTCAGGTGATAGAAAACTGGCAAAAAAAGTACATTTTTTGCAACTGGCTCTGCTTTTTAAGCTCATTCAGGCTGTGAAATTTGAGGGAATAAGATGGTCCTGAAGGTCCCTTCCACCCCAAAGCGTTCCAGGATTCTGGGATCCCGTATCAAACTGGGTCACGCTCCAATGAGTCACAGAGTCACAGAATGTGCTGAGCTGGAAGGGACCCACAGGGATCACCCAGTCCAACCCTCAGCCATGCACAGGCCCAGCCCCAAGGGTCCCACCCTGTGCCCCAGAGGATCAGCCAAACGTGTCCTGCACAGCTCAAAGAGCACATGTAAGAGGAGGACAATCCCAATCCTGCCTTGTCCTGGCCAGGAATGTCTCCACCATCCTGGCTAAGCTGATTTTCCAACCTGTTTGGCTGGTCAGTACCTCACTGCTCCTCTACAAATAAAAGGACCATGAACACACAAGTGGAGGCGTCTCCTTCCACCCAGCTCAGCCCAGCCAGGATTTCACAGATCCCAGAACATCCTGAGCTGGAAGGGACCCCCAAGGACCATCCAGCCCAACCCTCAGCCCTGCACAGGCCCAGCCCCAGGAGTCCCACCCTGTGCCCCAGAGGATCAGCCAAACCCTCCTGGAGCTCTGGCAGCCTTGGGGCTGTGCCCACTGCCCTGGGGAGCCTGGGCAGTGCCCAACCAGCCTCTGGGGGAAGAACCTTTTGCTGAGATCCAACCTGAACCTGCCCTGGCACAGCTCCAACCATTCCCTGGGGTCCTGTCGCTGGCCCCTCCCCAAGAATGTGCAAAGAGATGCTTTTTCCCCTGTTTTTGGGGGACAAATCAACTCCCTTTGTTGGTGCTTCTCAAAAACCGTTGGTGAAATAACAAGGAAAACATAAACCCACTGTTTGCTGCTCCAAAATATTGACTTTTGTAGGGAAACGAAGCCAATTGAGAGGGGAAAACAGCCATGGAATGGGAATGAACCGTGTGCCTTCATGTTCTTCAAACAGTCATTGGAAACAGAGGGAAAACAAGGAATAATTAAAAAAAGCCAATATTAAAGCACATCAGGTCACAGCCAAGGAAGGATACTGAGGTGCTGGAGCAGGTCCAGAGGAGAGCAATGAGGCTGGGGAAGGGACTGGAGCACAAGTGCTGTGAGGAGAGGCTGAGGGAGCTGGGGCTGTTCAGCCTGGAGAAGAGGAGGCTCAGGGGAGACCTCCTCACTCTCTGCAACTCCCTGACAGGAGGGGGGAGCCAGGGGGGAGTTGGTCTCTTTTCCCAGGCAACCATCAGCAAGACAAGAGGGCTCAGGCTTCAGCTGTGCCAGGGGAGGTTTAGGTTGGAGATTAGAAAGAATTTCTTTGCAGAGAGGGTGCTCAGCCATTGGAATGGGCTGCCCAGGGAAGTGGGGGATTCTCCATCCCTGGAGGTTTTTAAGATGAGACTGGATGTGGCATCAGTGCCATGGGCTGGGAACCACAGTGGGGTTGGATCAAGGGTTGGACTCGATGATCTCGGAGGTCCCTTCCAACCCAGCTGATTCTATGATTCTGTGATTCTACGATTCTATAATTCTCTGATTCTGTGATCCTATGATTCTACAGTTCTATGATTCTACAGTTCTACGATTCTGTGAGTCTGTGAGTCTGTGATTCTACGATTCTCTGATTCTCTGATTCTCTGATTCTATGGTTCTATGATTCTGTGATTCTATGATTCTCTGATTCTCTGGTTCTATAATTCTATGACTCTATGATTCTGTGATTCTGTGAGTCTGTGATTCTATGAGTCTATGAATCTATGAGTCTATGACTCTATGATTCTCTGATTATATGACTGTGATTCTGTGATTCTATGAATCTGTGATTCTATGGTTCTGTAATTCTATGTTTCTATGATTCTCTGATTCTCTGATTGTATAACTCTATGATTCTGTGATTCTGTGATTCCATGATTCCATAATTCTGTGATTCTGTGACTCTATGATTGTTTCTATGATTCTCTGATTCCATGATTCTAAGGGCTGAGGGATCCAAAGGCTCCCACTCACCGAGTGCG